TTTCGGGTCATTTGTATTTGATCTATTCAATTTGTAAGGTATACTACTTTCCTGTGCTTTGCTTAGAATATTTGTAAATAAGTTATATTAGGGTTGTTGATTTGTGGAACCAATTACCACGTAACATAATAGAAGAAGGATCCCTTGACTGTCTCAAACATTGGTTAGACATACCGGGGTTTTTTTTTTTTTTTTTTTTTTGAGATATATACAAGAGTTGTTACATTCTTGTACAGCCACTAGTACGCGTAGCGTTTCGGGCAAGTCCTTAATCCTATGGTCCCTGGAATACGATCCCCTGCCGCGAAGAATCATTTTTTCATCCAAGTACACATTTTACTGTTGCGTTAAACAGAGGCTACAGTTAAGGAATTGCGCCCAGTAAATCCTCCCCGGCCAGGATACGAACCCATGACATAGCGCTCGCGGAACGCCAGGCGAGTGTCTTACCACTACACCACGGAGACTGTGAGACTGTATATGAATGAGATTGGGTGGGTATAAATAGGAGCTGTCTCATATGGGCCAATAGGCCTTCTTCAGTTACCTTCATTCTTATGTTCTTAAGCCTAACGTGTATGAATATACTCTGGCTTCCTGTCCCCCGACACAATAAATTATTATTATTTTACACTACCCCAAGAATCCTTCCTCCTCAGTATCCCCTCAACCGACAGCCAGCACCACTCCATCCAACACAGAAAACGTTTAAGAAAATTTCACCGATAACACCAAAATAATACAAATTCAGTAAGTGGACATCCCACTTACAGGATAAGTGGCAGACAAGATAATCCCACTCGTGCTGTTAACCATAACCATAATACACTTCAGGAACAAGTAACTCCAAGCGATAACGCTCCTCTACCAATCATGTCCTACATATTCAGCGTAGGATGACATAGTTAATCCCCAAATTAGAAACCTGTCATATGATGAAAGATTGACAAAGCTTAAATTGCATTCACTAAAAAGGCGAAGAGTTAGGTGTGACATGATAAAGGTTTATAAGTGGATGAATTTATATAACAAAGGGGATATTAATAGGGTATTGAAAGTATTAACACAAGACAGAACACGAAACAATGGGTTTAAACTGGATAAGTTTAGATTTAGAAAATACATGGGTAAATACTGGTTCGGTAACAGGGTTCAGTCCTAAAATTCGTTTACACAAAGCCTTATACGTCTCGTTAACAAACTAACTAACTTTCAATTTTCATTAGCAGCAAAAATAAATCTATAAAATCTTCAGTATACATAAAAGAGCACTTAGATTTACAACACTCACTGGTAGGATTTCACCACAAGCTAAGTCTCCACGACAGAAAAAAATCATATTAATACATTGGAAAACAATAACACAAATTTAGAACATCAAAACAGTTGACGTTTTGAATAAATAACCTTGAATAAATGCATTCTTCTTCAGGGTAGTCTTCGGATTCATCGTTCAACGTCTGTGAATCATTAAAATCAGTTGGTCTGAGAATCATTAAAATTAGTGTCTATGGCGACGCCGCCATGGGAATCATCCGCTATTTTCGAGGCTTCCGTCTCCGGTGGCACCCATGGCTTGACAACAGCGGTCGCATCCAAGTTCAAAGAAATCAACAATGTGTAGGAACAGGCTGGTACGGAGACACCTGTTTCCTTTCTTACACGGTAACATCGAAGCGTTGACACTCGTATTTTTGTGTTGACACACAGACCACTTATATAGTGGTAAATAATGCGTCTTGTTTACATAAATGCGTTGGGGACTGCATCTTAAAACGCAGCTGAAGTACAAATGAGTGGTATATTCTGCTCCGAGCAAGACAGGAGGTGTGGGGTAGAGATACATGAGCTGTGGAGCAGCTTAAAATCGTGGTCTCCTTGAAGTTTTCAACTTCTAAGTAACATTTTTACTTCACCATGGTGTCTAATGCCTATCTTCCATTTCTAGCACTGTAGCTTTTTATGAACTAAAAAAGGATAGTTCATATTAAACGTTCAAAGTCAGTATTAAGAGTTATTGTTTCTCACAGACGGCATTATTTTCTTAGACTGGTAATCCTTCGAAACAGTTTTCTGTCACAAATATATATATTTCGTTTTCTATTATTAAAGAATGTAGTGGAGAAACCTTAGCAAAATTTTCAAGGGCAATAATGTCGTAACCATCAGACTCTTGAACAAAATATGTTTATCATTATTTAAGTATTTTACGGAACTACAGTGTATTTATTAATTCCAATCAAACATAAGAATGCAAAACTGTGCTACATCCTTAAATTAGTAACCTTTATGGTGATAGTCCTATATTATACAATTGGATCACTAATGTATACAAACTCAGACGTCCTCGTGGCTGAGTAGACAGCGCTTGAGAGTCGTAGTCCTAATGATCCGGGTTCAATTCCCTGCGGAGGCGGAATTTCTTTCACCCTGATGCACCTGTTCACCTAGCAGTAAATAGGTACCTGGGAGTTAGACAGCTGCTACGGGCTGCTTCCTGGGGATGTGTGTACTCACCTATTTGTGCTTGCGGGGGTTGAGCTTTGTTTCTTTGGTCCCGCCTCTCAACTGTCAATCAACTGGTGTACAGATTCCTGAGCCTACTGGGCTCTATCATATCTACATTTGAAATTGTGTATGGAGTCAGCCACCACCACATCACTTCCTAGTGCATTCCACTTGTTAACTGCTCTGATATCGAACAAATTCTTTCTAATGTCTCTGTGCCTCATTTGGGTACTAAGTTCCACCTGTGTCCCCTTGTTCGTATTCCGCCCGTACTGAAGAGTTTGTCTTTGTCCACCCTATCAATTCCCCTGAGAATTTTGTAGATGGTTATCATTTCTCCCCTTACTCTTCTGTTTTCCAGGGACGTGCGGTTCAGCTCCTCCAGTCTTTCCTCGTAGCTCATACCTCTCAGTTCCGGGACAAGTCTGGTGGCATACCGCTGAATCTTTTCTAACTTTGTCTTATGTTGAACTAGATACGGACTCCAGACTGGAGCTACATATTCCAGGATTGGTCTGGCATAAGTTGTATACAGGGTCCTGAACCTGGGTGGTTGATATCTGGTTGATGGGGTTCTGGGAGTGCTTCTACTCCCCAAGCCCTGTCCGAGGCCAGGCTTGACTTGTGAGAGTTTGGTCCACAAGGCTGTTGCTTCGAACGGCTCGCAGGCCCACATACCCACCACAGCCCGGTTGGTCTGGCACTCCTTGGAGGAAACAATCTAGTTTCCTCTTTAAGATGTCCACGGTTGTTCCGGCAATATTTCTCGTGCTAGCTGGGAGGGTGTTGAACAACCGTGGACCTCTGATGTTTATACAGTGTTCTCTGATTGTGCCTATGGCACCCCTGCTCTTCACTGGTTCTATTCTGCACTTTCTTCCATATCGTTCACTCCTGTACGTTGTTATTTTACTGTGTAGATTTGGGACCTGGCCCTCCATTATTTTCCAAGTGTATATTATTTGATATCTCTCTCGTCTTTTTTCTAGTGAGTACATTTAGAAAGCTTTGAGATTCGATTCCTTACACAAGTTTCTAAAGGCAGTTCTTATGTTGGCCAACCTAGCATATGCCGCTGATGATATCCTTTTGATGTGAACCTCTGGGAGAGGTTCGGTGTGATATCAACCCCCAGATCTTTCTCTCTATTTGACTCTTGCAGGATTTCACCTCCCAGATGGTACCTTGCGTTTATCCTTCTGTTCCCTTCGCCTAATTTCATTACTTTACACTTTCCTGAGTTGAACTTTAGTAGCCATTTTCTAGACCATTCCTCCAGTTTGTCCAGGTCATCCTGTAGTCTCTGTCTATCTTCATCTGTCTTGATTCTTCTCATAATTTTTGCATCATCAGCAAACATTGAGAGGAATGAGTCTATACCCTCTGTAAGATCGTTTACATATATTAGAAACAGGATGGGTCCAAGTACAGAGCCCTGTGGGACTCCATTGGTGACATCTCGCCACTCTGATGTCTCCCCGCTCACAGTTACTCGCTGTTGTTGTTGTTGCTTCAGATTTAGCTACTCAGAACGAAGTGTCCATGTAGCACGGGCTATGGTGAGCCCGTAAAGTTACTCGCTGTTTAGTTAGTCTTTTTAGTTACTCGTTGTTTCCTGTTGCTTAGATACTCCCTTATCCACTGGAGCACCTTACCTTTTACTCCTGTGTGTTGCTCCAACTTCTGCAACAGCCTTTTATGGGGTACTGTGTCAAAATCTTTCTGACAGTCCAAGAAAATGCAGTCTGCCCTCACTTCTCTTTCTTGCCTAGTTTTTGATGCTTAGTCATAGAGCTCTATTAAACCTGTGAGGCACAATTTACCATCTCTGAACCCATGTTGGTGGTGTGTCACAAAACTATTTCATGTGTGTATGTGTGTGTGTGTGTGTGTGTACCTAATTGTACTCACCTAATTGTGTTGTGTGTGTCCCGCCTCTCAACCGTGGTGTGTGTGGGCTCTATCATATCTACATTTGAAACTGTGTGTGTGTTCCATTTACTAACTACTCTGACACTGAAAAAGTTCTTTCTAACGTGGCTCATTTGGGTGCTTCCACCTGTGTCCCCTTGTTCGCGTGTGCGTGTGGATGGTGTGTGTGTTGATTCCTTACACAGTGTTCTGTGTGTGTGTGTGTGTGTGTGTGTGTGTGTGTGTGTGTGTGTGTGTGTGTGTGTGTGTGTGTGTGTGTGTGTGTGTGTGTGTGTATGTGTGTGAGAAATATATTTAGTAGATATAATAGAGGAAAAACATATTGGTTAGAAAGGCGAGGTCCAAGAGCTAATAGCTCGATTCTGCAGACACAAATAGTAAATACTTCATTCTAAAAGTATTAAATGATTGTATATAAACATTAATATACGTTCTGTGGTGACTAGGGATTTTTGAACAGTAGTAGGAAGGGTATGGGCGCTGGGAACAGCTATTTGCTGGTAAGCAAGCACCATGTTTGGCAGAGCACCCCCAAGGAAATCTAAAAAAACTACATTAACTTTGTTTTAAAATTTCTTCCAAGAAGACACTTTATTGTGCAGCACCTCTCGTCCTGTACAACATTCTCCAACAGGTCAGGAGGGTCAGTGTCTGGTGGAGTGAGGGTCAGTGTCTGGTGGAGTGAGTGTCAGTGTCTGGTGGAGTGAGGGTCAGTGTCTGGTGGAGTGAGTGTCAGTGTCTGGTGGAGTGAGGGTCAGTGTCTGGTGGAGTGAGTGTCAGTGTCTGGTGGAGTGAGGGTCAGTGTCTGGTGGAGTGAGGGTCAGTGTCTGGTGGAGTGAGGGTCAGTGTCTGGTGGAGTGAGTGTCAGTGTCTGGTGGAGTGAGGGTCAGTGTCTGGTGGAGTGAGGGTCAGTGTCTGGTGGAGTGAGTGTCAGTGTCTGGTGGAGTGAGGGTCAGTGTCTGGTGGAGTGAGAGTCAGTGTCTGGTGGAGTGAGTGTCAGTGCCTGGTGGAGTGAGTGTCAGTGTCTGGTGGAGTGAGGGTCAGTGCCTGGTGGAATGAGGGTCAGTGTTTGGTGGAGTGAGGGTCAGTGCCTGGTGGAGTGAATGTCAGTGTCTGGTGGAGTGAGTGTCAGTGTCTGGTGGAGTGAGGGTCAGTGTCTGGTGGAGTGAGTGTCAGTGCTCTTGGTGTGCACTACAGTGCCAGCCTTGATGACGTGGGAGATAATGTGATCAGTGCCGCCCAGCTGGTACACCAGGTGCTCCCATCTGAAAGGTCAGAGATATGGTCAAGTCTGTAACCCTTAAAGCTGAACTGTGCCACATGCCAATATTACAGCCAAAATCAATCATAATTAAAATATAATTTACAGATAAATCATAAATTTGATAGCAATCAAAACTAATAAAATGCTATTCCAGTTTTATGATTGTGTCATTAAGCAATATGAAATAATTTATTATAACTATTTATTCCTTGATATATATGATTGAACTGGATGTCACAGTCATGGATCTGAGAGCAGGCAGCAATTGCAACCGGATTGTTAGATGGATGTTTCCACCATACTCACGTTGCAAGTAGAAAGTTATTTATTTACTTCTCTAAATCTTATGCAATGTAAGTTGTGTGATTTATTAAATTGAGTAGTGCATACAGATTCATGGAATTATTAGTATACATCCAAATTGCACTTCCCTTTATTTACACGCACCCCCCCCCCCCCACATTCCCTTTTACTTATATACACATGCACACACTCCCTCCAGGTACTTAATACTTCAAGTACAGTGGCCCAAGAGCTGCACCTCACTTCCCCGTATACACATACATCCAGATGTCTGCCACATATTACGGGCTCACCATAGCCCGTGCTACTGGAACTTCTTGTTGTGAGTAGCTGAATCTAAAACAACAACAACTGCTACATAACGGGTCTGTGAGCTTACAGGGTTTAACACTGAGGAATCTCGACTTCCCTATGCTGAAGAGATGGAAAAGAAGCAATGTAAATACAGCATATAAGATTCTTAGAGGCCTGAGACAGTAGAGAAGGACACGCATTTCAGCGTGGGGAGGTGGAGAGCGCTGACGACAACTGCTCGGGTGAGCCACAGGGATGTGTGAATTTAGCTCTTCAGTGTATGAGTAGTGGGCATGTGAAATGTCCTAGAAGAGAAGGTTGTGGAAGTTAACTCCATACATAGTTTCAAGAGCCGGTATGAAAAGTATCAAGATGATAGGTAAGCATTGTAATACATAGATTCATAAGTGACTGAGAGGTAGAGTGTTCAGGAACTGATGCTCGCCCTACAAGCATATGTAGGTGATTACATAGCTGAGTGTAATGAAAACTCACACATGAAATTTATTCAACTCCACAAATGATCTGAGAAATAGCTACTGAATTTAACAACAGTAAGGTATGATAAACGGGAGAGAAGCGAGAAGAGCCCAAGAGCAGCACATGAGGAACGTAAGACTCCTCAAGTGGTGAGGGAGTCTAATGTGGGAGTAGATATAACTCTAAATCTGTTATCGCGCGCATCCATTAGTAGAATAATAGCGACATATGTAAAGTCTGCGAACGTCCAGATAGCCTTCATGAATCTACACAAGGATATTTCAGGCCCCTGCAAACAATCAACACGAGAGCAATATATGATTATGCATCCTCTGCATGCAGCCAAACTATTAGAAACACAAACAGAAATTCAAGTAAATTCACAGAAATGCACAAGTCTAAAGGCCATATTCAGAAACATCTGTGATTACTCCAGCTAATGGTCACTATTCTTTTTACTTAGTTCCATTTAGTGTTTATTGTAAAATTGAGAAGTGTGAATGGCGGGAGTCTTTAGTTAGTGCTACCATTGTGGGTCCCGAGTTGTGTTCAGTAGAGTTGTTGTTGTTTAAGATTCGCTACTCAGAACGATAAGTTCCAGTAGCACGGGCTATGGTGAGCCCGTAAGTGGAGACTCTTTGGAGCCATTATCTGTAATTTCAGTAGAGGTCAAGACACATTTATGTAGTACAAGAGTAGAGATGGAATAGAGTCGGCCAGTGGAGAGGTGCAGTTGAAACAAATTTTATGCACATATATAGAAAAATGATAAGCACGAGAATCTAGCTAGTGCATTACAGGAGCGGTAAGCTGTAGAGGCAGGCCTCAGCTTGAGCAGTTCCACTCTAAAAGCACACATGTGACTTGCGAGGAGAGCAGTAAACATGCATGCGGCGTGAGAGGTGCAAACTTGTACAATGATCTGGAAGAGGAAATAAATGAGGCAAGCTCTAAAATAGTTCCTTTGGTAAATAGACAAATGATAAGAGCGAGTCGCTAAAACTGATGACATACGACTGTGAAAGGCTGATCCCAGGAACTGAAGGTCAACCCTGAGGCACATTTAGGCGAGTACACACCAACATACTCACGCGCGCGCAGCACACAATACAACGAAGGCTGTATGTCCCCTGTACAAGTCTGTCTCCATACGAGACCCGAAACAAGACTTTAACAAAGGTTAGCGTACAGTATAAGACATACCACAAGGCGTCTCCTCCTCAGAGCATAATAATCCGGACATACCTGGGAGCGTCCACGATGACGAGGTCAGCCATCTTGCCGGGTTCTATGGAGCCGTGAGAATGGGCTTTACGGAGAGCGTGGGCGGCGTGCAGGGTGGCGGCGATGAGCGCCTCCTTCAGCGTCATCCTCAGTATGACACAGGCCATGTGCATCACCACCGGCTACACACAACACACCACATTACCCTTTCTTCTCTTTGCAATATATGATTTAATTAATCTTAAAGTTATATATATATATATATATATATATATATATATATATATATATATATATATATATATATATATATATATATATATATATATATCATACACACTTGCATCCAGCGACTCCACGTGTATTATGTTACCCGAAACTCTGTTCTGTAAATCTATAAGCCTACATCCAATTCAGTATTTTTTCAATTTCTTTATTATGCACCCCATACCCATATTTATCAAATTATTTTATATATTTATATTTATGCAATTTGTGTCAACTGTTCAATTGGATAATGATATTTAGTTAAATTTTATTAATTAATATGAATATAATTAATAATCATTAATATTCTCCATGAGTTAACTTTTCATTTATTTGCATATTTCAATCGAACCTTCCTTTACTCTTTGCCTTTCTAGATAATGTAAAATGACCTTTGTAAATCTCTGTAAATAAGGAAGGTTTCCTTAACTGGGATTAACGTTTTCATCGCTGGATTGTTTGAAGCAAAGGTTATATTATATATATATATATATACATATATATATATATATATATATATATATATATATATATATATATATATATATATATATATATATATATATATATATTAGTAAGTTTGGGTTGGTAAAAATAGGAGCTGGCTAACAGACTAGTTAAGTTTGACTACAGAGGTAGTTTAATGCAATTTTATTTTCTTGTATGTTCTGGTATCATAATGATTTTTTTAAAGAAAGTATTCAATAAAAAGTTTCCTGTCACGGCTTTTCTCTTGAGACTGATCCATGTATTGACCCTCACGTTATCAAGAATCTCTGCTTGTCACGCAGCCTACAGCTGTCCTGTGTTGAGGGGGGGGGGGGGTGGTGGACACCACATTCACCTACTAACTACACTTGGCAAGCCTTCAATACTTGGCTAAGGTTTCGGGTAGTACATGACTTTAATAAAATACTTGCAAACTTCTTGTAATAGAAAATACGACTTATTTTACTACAAATGTAAATTGCCTAGCTTAAAGATCATTGTAGTCCAATGCTTGAAATTATGTGATGCTGAAACCTTTCTCCTGCTCGCGCACAGGATACCCACAGAATACATTACTTTAATTAAGAGTTTCACCTGTTAGATAAGGTCCTCCTGGATTAACGATTATGTTAGTTTAATAAGCTGAATATAGGCCGTTAACGTCTATGTCAACAAACGTTGTAACTAGATCAATAATATAACTTGGAAAGTTAAACTAATTTTGGAAATCAGATTCTGAGCTCGTGTCGAGCCTCTGAAACTTTGCCACTACTGATCACAGGATGTCCATGGGGTCTACTACTGCTCACATACAGAGTATGGGGGTAAACTACCACTCATAAGATGGGTATGGGTCTACTTCCACTCATAAGATGGGTATGGGTCTACTTCCACTCATAAGATGGGTATGGGTCTACTTCCACTCATAAGATGGGTATGGGTCTACTTCCACTCATAAGATGGGTATGGGTCTACTTCCACTCATAAGATGGGTATGGGTCTACTTCCACTCATAAGATGGGTATGGGTCTACTTCCACTCATAAGGTGGGTATGGGTCCACTATCACTCATAAGATGGGTATGGGTCCACTACCACTCATAAGATGGGTATGGGTCTACTACCACTCATAAGATGGGTATGGGTCTACTACCACTCATAAGATGGGTATAGGTCCACTACCACTCATACAATGGGTATGGGTCAACTACCACTTATAAGATGGGGTATAGGGTCTACTACCACTCATAAGATGGGGTATAGGGTCCACTACCACTCATAAGATGGGTATGGGTCTACTACCACTCATAAGATGGGTATGGGTCTACTTCCACTGATAAGATGGGGTATAGGGTCCACTACCACTCATAAGATGGGTATAGGGTCCACTACCACTCATAAGATGGGGTATAGGGTCCACTACCACTCATAAGATGGGTATGGGGTCCACTACCACTTACAAAAAGGATATGGGGTCTAGTGCTACTTACATGATGGGTATTGGGTCCACTACCACTTAAATAGTGGGAATGGGCTGCATAATCAATTAACTCAAGAGGATTCCTGGAGTTACTGACCATGGATAAGCAGAAAGCGTTTGGGTTGAAGTCTGTGCCGAGGGCGACCGGGACGCCACCGTCTATCATAGCACGCGCGGGTGGAGGCTTGAGTCTGAGTATGTGGGCGGTGGTGGGGAGCAGGACGCCCACGGTGCCAGCCGTGGCCATGGCTGCTATACCTTCTTTAGATATTTCCTCCAGGTGGCTTATGGCTTCCGCGCCCAGAGATGCTCCCATCTGTAAGAGCGAATTGTATAATAATAATAATAATAAAACCCAAAGTATTGTATACTTGGTTCTGAAGAAAAAATAAATATTATTCATACCTCTGCGCCCTTCAAAGGATGGAGTTCGTCTGCATGGAAGTTTATCATAAGTCCCTCCTTCTGCCCAGCTTCTAAAATGCGTCTTGACTGGTCCACGTTGAACACTCCCTGCTCACAGAAAACGTCGATGCTATCAACCTGCAACTGAAGGGGAAACTGATGTCGGTCCGATGTTCCCTTAATTAATTAATTAATACTACTACTACTACTACTACTACTACTAATAATAATAATAATAATAATAATAATAATAATAATAATAATAATAATAATAATAATGTATTGTGTCGGGGGACAGGCAGCCAGAGTGTATTCATACACGTAAGGCTTATGACGAATATAGGAATTAGGGAATGTAGAAATTAGGGAATATAGGAATGTGAGTGCTTCACTACGGGCTCACCACAGCCCGTGCTACTGGAACTTCTTGTTCTGAGTAGTTGAGTGTAAGACAACAACAGTGTGAGTGCTCTGACCAGTTCAAGCCATGTTTTGTAGACGTCTACGTTGATAGCACCATTTCAAACAACTTCATCTGAGTAAGGCAGGTTCTGGTCAACTGAGGTTACACTAATGGTTATGATGGCGAGCTCAACACTGCAGAATGTGTTACACATATTAAGTGTTCTACAAGAACTTATTTTAAGCGGTCCGCAAGGCGGAGAAAAAAGTGTTAATAAGACAATAGGTAGAAAAGTGACCGCTTCCGACACTAACCAGAATTAAGACAGAGCTCACCATATACTACAAGAGTAAGAAAACCGCCAACCTGCTCATGTAGAGCTCTCCCGACGCTAAACGAAACGACTTGAAAGAGACAAATGTTATTTATTCCTTAACATGTCCACTTGGGGATTGTCAATCCAACGATATCAATATATAGGTAAGACGACAACATCTCTTTCAAGATGCATAACAATGCACTAAGAACAAGGATGACATAATTTCTATGCACAGCCAAACCATCATCTGACCAGCGACACCAAACAAACTGACATAGAACTAATAATATAAAATTAAACATGGCCAAAGCACTTCATGTCAAACAGTCATCCAACTTTCAACATCCAGCTTACATGTAAATATATTTTACTATCCACGAGGCTAAGACAGAACACGTCACTTACATCCAGTTGCTGACTTAACCTAACCAACAACAGTATATACTAAAAACGTACAAACCTGAGCCATTTTTCCCAAAGATAAGTAGACATTACCTCGCCAGCGTCCATGGCTGCCTTGACAGCCGGCAACTGGTCCTCTACCACCCGGCGTGTTGCTTCCTCTGCCGTCAGCTCCCTGGAATTAGTGTCATTTCTTAAGATTACATTTTTTTTTTATATTTCTTAGTTATCAACGTATACTTTACATAGTTATGATCAGTGACAATATGAAACCATGAGACTCGCAGTCAGTGCGAAGTTCACGCCATACTTGGGCACGGAGTGAGCTCCGCAGAACGAGGAGGAGATGGTGAGGTTGGCCAGCGGGCGAGCCTTCTCCAGCACTCGAAGCATCTTCACTTCAGTTTCCACATCGAGGCCGTAGCCGCTTTTGCACTCCACCAGAGTCGTACCTGCAGGAGGTACTGAGCTTATATCACTATTCACGAGAAGGTAACCGGGTCACTAGAGTCATGACCAGGACAGTCTATCTTATACACTCCGGTAACTACTGCTTTACTGTTTTCGTTTTGTGAAGCACTACAATGTGGAGGTAAAATCCTAACGCTTACGAAGCATAGGATAGCCACCGCCACTTTGTCAAATATAGACACATGCAACATAATTACCAGCAGCATTTTGTTGCACTCTGTATCCGAGAAGGTAATGGGCAGTTAGTGCCATCAGATGAACATACAACAAGTATTTAATACACTACTGCTTTGTGCAAAAAAAATATCTCGACCTAAGCAGTCATGAGAGTAGTAATGAGTCACTCGACAAGCCAACACAATCACGTCTTACATGTCAGCTGTTACAATATACTGCATGTTGACAGGCAACATAAGTTATGAGCATGATATCTAAGTTCAGAGGCAGTAATAAAGCAAGAAAAGAATCGCGCGTGAATAATTCTTGCAGCGATTTACGGTTATTATCTTAAGATCACAAAGCAACAATGAAAATTACACTATTTTATTATTAACAGATAAATCAGTTGTCTTGAAAATTACGACAAAATGACCAAATCAAAATATGATAACTTAAACTTGAATTAATATCTATAATTTGAAGATTGCATTATATGTTAGCTACTGCTACTTTAGGGAACTATATAATAAATTGCACCAGATGTATATTATTGTTAGGTTAAATCTTTTACAAGTAAACTAGTTTACTGCCCCCTCCCTCCTCTACCCCCCCCCCCCCCCAAGACACCCAACTGAGATCCATTTTTCAGTTTCCGTTATGTTATCCGGGGCTTCAAGGACAGAACTAGCACAGACGCAGCCAATGCTGACTTTTCGACTTTCTAACAAAATATTGAATTTAATCAGTTCGTGAGTTGTTGCACTAACGAGCTTTTTCGTTAGTTTCACAAGGAACAATGCACTAATGAACACGTAGCCGGCGGGCTGTGCCTGGCTGCGCAAGGTTACCTGCGCGGGTCATGCGGTGGAGGCGAGGCAGGAGGAGCTGCAGGAGCTGGTCCTCGGAGGCGGCTCGGGTGTGCTCCACCGTGAAGTTGATGCCGCCGCCTGCTGAGTGAACCTCCATGTAGCTGGCGCCGGCCAACTGATATCACATCACGAAAATAAATACATAAATTAGCAACACGTACATGCATCACACACAGAGATCACACTAACCCTGTCGTAGCTCAGTCGATTAAGGCAGTGTCTGGGGTGCTCCCGGACGCAGGTTCGAATCCTCGTCACGGCCCTTGTGGATTTGTTCATAGGTACATGCATGAATTACCGGGAAAGAGGCTCTTGAACCCCTTCCCCCCATCACCCAACATTCACAACCCTTCCCCAGGTAGTGGGTTTGTTTAATGGTTTCCCATTGTCTGGGAAACGAAGCCTGCAATAATGATCACAAAAGTTCCTTTGGGCCAACCATTGATCTTCCCCGGGATGCAACCCCACAACAGTTGCCAACTCCGGGGACCTGTTTACTGCTTGATAAAAAAAACAAGAGGCATCAGAAAATGTGCCCAACCGTCTCTATGACATGACCGTGGATATAACTCGGGATCCTCGGTGATGAACCGAGGATGTAGACCACTGCGATACAGGACTTCTTATTATGGAAGGCGACCTTAAGTGCTAATTCCGGGGTTTAACACCCAACCACTTGAGCTGGACGGTAGAGCGACGGTCTCGCTTCATGTAGGTCGGCGTTCAATCCCTACCATCCAAGTGGTTGGGATTGAATGAAGGGATCATTCCTTCCCCCCTGTCGGAAAAAAACTGACACCATTTACTAACTTTCAATACAATATGCAGTTAATATTGCTGCTGTTTTGTACTTACAAATCAACTCCTAGAAACAGTGCTTTAATTAATCATAGAAAACGAGGCTCCAGTGGAATTTTCCCCAGAAGAAAACGGGGAATCATTGCCATGTAACCCATAAATTCACCAGCTAATAATATTGGGAATTCTTCTTAAACATCAGTCTCTGAACTGTGAACGTCATAAAAACATTTCCCGTGAACCATCTTAATTATCAGTATTAAAATATATTAAATATAAAACCCTCTTTCCACTTCTTGATAAAACGCAGCTGGAGATGCGGCAACGCGGGAGTGAGAAAGAGGGAGAGTGGCCATTCTAACCCGGACAGTTCAAACGTCTCGTGTTGCCATTTCGATTATTTGTACCAAACAAGTTATTGACGAAGAGTTAGCCAGCACAAACTGACACCGTCATTACCAGGGACAAGCATTGTATCCTTCCAGTATACTAAATGATTTATAGAAATCTATTCATTGTGTATATTTACTGTTATAATTATGCCATATATAAACAACAAGCCCAAGGGTGAGCAATAATTCAACCCTTTAAGAATATTATAATATACATGTTAACAGAATAATTCATGTGCAGCAAATATTACTGTGAAATCTCATTGGCAGGTGAATTGAGAAGTGAAGTCATTAATATGGAATCAGTCAAAGAGGGATACCACGTTACTGGCTGGCTACCCACTCGCTACAATAACAAAATGCTGAAGGCTTCTTATCAGATAAGGCTTCCCATGTATTAATTAATCATTTGTAGTTGTTGTTTCAACACCTAGTTACATTGTAGTGAATGTCTACCAGTCGATAATTTCGATTGGTTGACAATATACATATAATATGACCCCCAGTTTGTGTAGGAAACGAATTGTGGGAAATTAACATCATACAATCCACTTTAAATTCATACAGTCTGATATCGAAACAAATAAATTAACGTAAGAAATAAATTACTATATAAATTAAATATAAATTATAAATTAGAAGTAATATAAATTGCTAAATAAATAAATCCCACGAGACAGTTTCCCTACACCCCCGTCCCATCCCAAATCCTTATCTTGACCCCTTCCAAGTGCTATATAGTCGTAATGGCTTGGTGCTTTCCCCCTGACAATTCCCTCTTTCCGGGGTTCAACGTCCCCGCGGCCCGGTCTCTGACCAGGCCTCCTGTTTGGTGGTTTGGCCGTCAGGCTGGTGCTCGCAGCCTGACGTATGAATCACAACCTGGTTGATCAGATATCCTTTGGAGGTGTTTGTCTAGTTCCCTCTTGAACACTGTGAGAGGCCGGCCAGCTATGTGTAGCGGGAGAGTGGTGAAAAGTACAGCAGAGTCTGCGTGAGATGCCACAACTCATCATGGTAGTGCTTGTCTCTCGAGAGGCTAGAGATGAGAGTTCAATCCCACCCCATTACCATAATATCTTCTTAAAGACACATAACGTCAATGTGATTTCATTTCATTTACACAGTATATCATTTTACGGACAAGTACTGAGCCTGGTCCAGAAACTGGAACACTTTATAACTAATAATCTTTCTCGGATCCAATGTGACGGCGTCATGTGTATTTAATGTACATGGTTAATCCTACATGACTTCATCAGTTACAGCCCCGCTCCTGTGCCTGGTAAGTCCACTACGGGCTCACCATAGCCCGTGCTACTTGGAAAGATTTGTTCCCAGTAGCTGAATTTAAAACAACAACAACCCTACATAAAGCCGTGCTCATTCATGCTGCTGTCTTCCCGAAAGACGCCCACATAAACTCTTTCTTACAATGTAATTAAAAACATTTCTCATATATAAATCAAAATAAATGTATATTCTGGTTTTGTACATAGGCATCGGTCTCGTGGACCTAATTGTATCTAGACTACACTCACAGCGGTGCGCTACACAATACAGGAATCAATTGCAAGTCATATTGAATTTCCTTTTATTCTTAAACATAGATTATGACTTCAAGGCTGAAAAATGTTTTGAGCATCTGTGACCCGATTACCTTCCTCTGGTTAAGCCTTGCATGTTATTACTACAGTATTTACTCAACTCATCCTCCAGTCCCAAGCAGTAATTCAAATACTGATTTTGTATGTACCAAGTTAGTGCATTTTTGTACTTATTCATCAGACAACCAATTGACAGGATGGGTCTTCCATACCTAAGAAATTGTTTATGTAATAATCTAAGATGAGGTTTGATAAAGACCTTTTGTGCCCTCTGTAATGCTTTTGCGCTACCGCTCACAGGATGAGTATGGGGTGCACAATAAACTAGCCGCCTTCGGCGGCAACAATCAAAAATACAGTATAATAAAACGAAAACAATCTGAAATATAAATTAATATTATATGAGAAAATCAGGAGGGATGAAGAGGATGCGAACCTGCACACTAGGTACTCCCAAGCACATTGATACATCACGTTAATATTATTACTTTGTGCATCATTATATATTGTGAACTTGTGTATAGTTAGGTCTGGGCTAGGTAAGGTGTTTTGGTTACGTTGATTTTGGGAGCGTTTACACTACAGGTGAAGGTGAACGAAGTACGTTTCGCCTCGAATAAGACTAGATGGACTGTAAGTCTAAAAACTGAGTTATGCAGAGTTTTTGTGTTCAGCATTTGATTTATACGTTAACAATATAAGTCAAATACTTATAGCCCTTTGTTTTGATAGTTTACAGCATGCAGGTGAAGCATTTTTAGTGATGGACGTTGAACATTGAGAGTGAATCAGTTTAATTTAAGCAAAGCTTCGAACATATCTACTGGACCAACATGGGCAGCCCGTCTTCATAAATAAAAGCCAAATGCTCGTTAATCCAGCAGGTAAACACTTTACAAAGGACTCTTTGAAGCACAACGAAGCACTGAAATCTTCAGAATACAAAACTGAGCACTTTGGATTTACAACACTCACTGGCAGGATTTCACCACAAGCTTAATCTCCACGACAGAAAAAAACAACATTCCTATTATAAACACTTTGGAAAACAATAACACAAATTTAGAACATCAAAACAGCATGAATAAATACATTCCTCTTCGGGGTAAAACTCTGATTTATCGTCAATGGGCGTTTGTCAGCGAATCATTAAAATCAGTGTCTATGGCGACGCCACTATGGAAATCATCCGCTGTTTTCGCGGATGTCGGAGAAAGTGCTTCGCTGACTTTCTCCGACCGAATCCCAGCTCGGTAAATTCTTCTCCCACGTATTGCACATTCAAATAATTGCCAACAGAAGTAATTAACTAACATGACCTACTTCTGACTTTACATCGAATTCTGATAAATATTAACACTAATATATATTTAAGAAAATCGGATTTTAAATACGCAAGATCTTAAAACTGCTGAATGTGTCTTTGTGGTAGGCCGCCGCTTGGAAGAGCCTACCCGGAGGATATGAGCATGGGAGCTACAGTATACTGGTGTGTATATGTATGTGTGTGTGATATATATATATATATATATATATATATATATATATATATATATATATATATATATATATATATATATATATATATATATATATATATATATATATATATATATATATATATATATAAACACGCTAAGGGATAACTTTAAGGGTTGACTATTAAGGAGAAATCATGCAAAGGTTGGCTGAATGTCGTTGAAGTGTATGAACACATAACGAATTCATCGTTAATCTATAATACCAAAGCACATTTTTTTCCTGCTTTCGTATTATAGATTAACGATAAATTCTGTGTAAAGTGTCCGGTTTAAATCCTTCATCCACTGAGAGTTGATGCCGCACAGTCAATTGTGTATTTCTAAAGCTAATAATCTCGTGTAATTCACTGAAGTTATATGAATTTTCTAAGATTTTTTCGAGAAATTACTGCTATAACTAGCAATGGTGTACTATAATATAGATGAAACTCACGAACAGCCTTTTGTAACCGAATCACTTTCCGATGTGTGGTGCTGATACTTGTTTCGTATATAACCAAATACCAACGTTACAGAGACGAGTAAACATTTTGAAATCAAATATTGTAATGATTCAAATTTAATCTGTGTAGGCCTCCATACAGTTCATAAATTATAATTTCCATCACATCCTTCCTGCTTTAACAATTTGAGACAGATTTTGACCGTATTTTGTGTTATCTCTGATACACTATGGTGAGATAATGCAGTAGTTATCGGAGAGTATCCTGCTGCCGGTCGGCAGGCCGTTTACAATTACGCAGTTCCATGAAAACAGCAGTAGAGGGCAGCTGATTT